GGCGAAAATCTATGCTTCGTGATGTTGTTTTTATATTATTTTTGCTCTGGAGTTAAGTTTGGTATTAGATATAAATAACTTTACACATATATTCATTAACTCAACACCTATGTTATACATGGGTATTATTACTAGTATTGTTTATTAGTTATTAATATTTGAGCATTAATATTTTTTATTCATTTATTAATACATTATGAATTTAAGAGAAAAGATTAAATTAACAAAAACCAACATGAAACAAAACATTTGTCCGTTTTCAAGTTGAGATAAGACATTTAAAAAGATCATTGAAATGTGAATGAAATGAAATTAACAAAGAAATAAATTATATTCTAAAAAGTACAAATAAGCATAAACTGATTAAAATTTCACTCAATGGTTTAAATTTTATTTTTGTAATAAACTGATTACTAAGATCTTATTTTATGTGTAAGCATAATAAACCTCATCACAACATTCACAACATATATAAATATGACAATTTAGAAATTGAAAGAAGAAGTATCTACAATATTGTGAATATGAAAAATATGAAGATACAATTTGTTGTATTCATGTTGATGGTGTTGTTTGCCTCAACAAATATACATGCATACAAATATGATCCGAAAAAATGTTTCTATGATTGTCTTAAATTTTGTGGCGATACATGTTGGACATGTTGTTCACGTATATGCTATCCTCCTGAACTTGGACATGTTGCATCAAGACCACCAGCTGAGGCTGTGCCCTCACCGACCGAGTAATAGTCGGGACTCGGGCGAATAAATATATAGGATGTTGTAAGCATTAGATGTCCCATGTCTGTACTAGTTATCATGGTATGGGCTAATGATTTCATCTATCAATCGAAATAAATGTTAACTTGGGAAATGATTGTCGACTAATCAACTTTGAGATTTGGTTTTTATAAAAATGGCCGAATTTCTCAGTTTTTTTGCCTTTTCTTTTTACTGGTAACCACTCGTGCGATGCATGCGAATTTTATTATCTATGTGCTTTTTATAAGGCAATTTTGTATATAAGTTGTGTAATAATGCAATGATAATGCGAATAGACATATAAACATATAATTAACTGAAAAGATCATATATTATAGAAGACTTCCTATATACATATTGAGTTGATTCTTTGGCACGTCATCTTTGCCACATATTAAGATTTTCAAACCATTTCGGTTGGTGACGAGAGAGATAACAACTTATAACTGACCATGACTGAACATTGGTTTCTTAAGAAATAAGTCAACATACGATAAGGATTGTCCCTGACTCTTGTTTATAGTCATGGCGTGAGAAACCACAATGGGAAACTGTCGTTGCTGGAACTTGAAATGAATCTAATATCAGAAAGAGTTATGGTCATTCTGAGAATCAACACCTTATCACCATCATGATCTTCTGTGAGTATCTTACACTCAAAACATGAGTGGATAGCTTTGTCACAACCATCCGTGTCCCATTACACAAACCCATAGAATGATCCTTGTTTCGCAACAACATGACTGAAGTTCCAATCTTCAAGTACAACTCATGGTTCACTATTCCTGAATATTTGATACTATTAAAAAACTAGGGCATATGGAGGTCAGACAAAAAAATTCATTATTAGAATCCGATTTGCACGTACTATTAGAGCTCAAGTATATACGATCATCCATTAAATTCAACGATGTCATGTACTCATTGATAGACTCGACACATCCAACCTCGGCGCTAATATAGCTCTATCCTTCAAATAACTTGGATCGTCAGGTGCCTCCTTAAACATTGGATATGTGCTTTCAATGATTTGAGCAATAGGATCATCAGATGGCTCAAGCAAAATGTCCTCGAGTATGTCTATCGCTGCACATCCATCGTTCGACCCCCCGATAGTTTTATCTCCGATGCTGGCTATCCAATCAGCAAACCGTGCAAGCTCATCACGTTGATCATCTGAATTAGCATCTGCTGCACTTAAACTATCCATCAACCCCCTCGAATTTTCTCGTGCATCTTCTGCATGTGTGGTACCACCACTCATCAATTGAGGAATCCACTTAGCACAAATGCAAATATTCGTTTCATGTACTT